TTAGGAAGCTGTTTTTAGCTCCATTTTAGAATCTTTTTTTCTCAGTTTTTAGGTGGAAACTCTTGCCACCACGTTGGACGCCATTTGTAGCTTGAGTTTTCTTGCCTGGCCCACAGTCAGGACAAATCTCTCTCACCTGCCAGTCCCACAGCCACTCAGACCCAACCAAGTAAACACAGAGACTTATATTGGTTACAAACTGTATGGCTGTGGCAGGCTTCTTGCTAACTGTTCTTACAGCTTAAATTAATCCATTTCCATTAATCTATACCTTGCCACATGTCTCATGGCTTACCGTCATCTTTACATGCTGTTTCTCATCATGGCGGCTGGCAGTGTCTCTCTGACTCAGCCTTCCACTTCCCAGCTCTATTCTCCTCCTTGTCCCGCCTATACTTCCTGCCTGGCCACGGGCCAATCAGTGATTTATTTATTGACCAATCAGCAACACATTTGACATACAGACCATCCCACAGTAGCTGCCCTCATCCTTGCTTATTCCCTGTGACATCTGTAAGTACAGAGCTATCAGTCAGGCCTGTATCCTCATCACAGCCAGAAATATAGAGAGCTTTGGGTGGGAGTAATACCTTCTCTCACAGTTATGAATATGGGTGCATTGAACTCAACCTGGGAGGGTTACCTAAGGTAGTACAAAGTGGGGAACACTTCAGTTGGTTCTTGAAGGTAGAGTTCATCAAAACAGCCTGGAAGGGAAGCATGGGAAAACAGAAGCGGGGATTCCACACAGAAGGCATGGTATTTTCCAGATCCTAGGCTTGTCAGATGATGTGTCAGAAGAACTATGTGACATTCATGAGAGCATGAAGAAAGAAGAACAGGAGAGGGGGGAAGAGATGCAGGGACTGAAGCTTTTTGCATTTGTCATCTTGGCTGACCTTAAATCATTAATTCATTCTTATTTATTTATTTTTTCTCATTATGGTCCTCAGACTTGCATCCTTACTCTCTGAGTCTAAGTCTCCTGGGCCCCTAGCTATCTTTTACTTACTTGATTTTAGAGTGTGGTACGGACAAACGCTCTGTATCCTCCAAGCTTCATCATCCACACAATAAGCTTCTCTCTTACCTTACTGGCTTGTAAGTCTTCATTATGACCTATTTCCTTTAAGTTTTGTGGATTCTCCGAGATTTTCCTTGATTGTTTTCATCTGGGAGAAATTCATCTAAATTCTCCTATAATTACATCTTTGCTCCTCTGCTCTTGGTCTCTTATGGCTCATATGGGAGCTTCCACACTGTCATCTTGTTCTGGGTGCTTCCACTGTGTCGTCTTGTTCTGGGTGCTTCCACTCTGTCGTCTTGTTCTGGGTGCTTCCACACTGTCATCTTGTTCTGGGTGCTTCCACACTGTAGTCTTGTTTTGGGTGCTTCCACTCTGTTGTGTTGTCTTGTTCTGGGTGCTTCCACTCTGTCATCTTGTTCTTGGTGCTTCCACACTGTCGTCTTGTTCTGGGTGCTTCCACACTGTCGTCTTGTTCTGGGTGCTTCCACACTGTCGTCTTGTTCTGGGTGCTTGCAATCTGTCGTCTTGTTCTGGATGTTTCCACACTGTCGTCTTGTTCTGGATGTTTCCACTCTGTCGTCTTGTTCTTGGTGCTTCCACACTGTCATCTTGTTCTGGGGGCTTCCACACTCTCTTGTTCTGGGTGCTTCCACTCTGTCATCTTGTTCTGGATGTTTCCACACTGTCGTCTTGTTCTGGATGTTTCCACACTGTCGTCTTGTTTTGGGTGCTTCCACTCTGTTGTGTCGTCTTGTTCTGGGTGCTTCCACTCTGTCGTCTTGTTCTTGGTGCTTCCACACTGTCGTCTTGTTCTGGGTGCTTCTACACTGTTGTCTTGTTCTGGGTGCTTCCACACTCTCGTCTTGTTCTGGATGTTTCCACACTGTCGTCTTGTTTTGGGTGCTTCCACTCTGTTGTGTTGTCTTGTTCTGGGTGCTTCCACACTGTCGTCTTGTTCTGGGTGCTTCCACACTGTCGTCATGTTCTGGGTGCTTCCACTCTGTCGTCTTGTTATGGGTGCTTCCACTCTGTCATCTTGTTCTGGATGTTTCCACACTGTCGTCTTGTTCTGGGTGCTTCCACTCTGTCGTCTTGTTCTTGGTGCTTCCACACTGTCGTCTTATTCTGGGTGCTTCCACACTTTCGTCTTGTTCTGGGTGCTTCCACTGTGTCGTCTTGTTTTGGGTGCTTCCACTCTGTTGTGTTGTCTTGTTCTGGGTGCTTCCACTCTGTTGTATTGTCTTGTTCTGGGTGCTTCCACACTGTCGTCTTGTTCTGGATGTTTCCACTCTGTCGTCTTTTTCTGGGTGCTTCCACTCTGTTGTCGTCTTGTTCTTGGTGCTTCCACACTGTCGTCTTATTCTGGGTGCTTCCACACTTTCGTCTTGTTCTGCGTGCTTCCACTGTGTCGTCTTGTTTTGGGTGCTTCCGCTCTGTTGTGTTGTCTTGTTCTGGGTGCTTCCTCTCTGTTGTGTTGTCTTGTTCTGGGTGCTTCCACACTGTCGTCTTGTTCTGGGTGCTTCCACACTGTCGTCTTGTTCTGGATGTTTCCACTCTGTTGTCTTGTTCTGGGTGCTTCCACTCTGTCATCTTGTTCTTGGTGCTTCCACACTGTCGTCTTATTCTGGGTGCTTCCACACTTTCGTCTTGTTCTGGGTGCTTCCACTGTGTCGTCTTGTTTTGGGTGCTTCCACTCTGTTGTGTTGTCTTGTTCTGGGTGCTTCCACTCTGTTGTGTTGTCTTGTTCTGGGTGCTTCCACACTGTCGTCTTGTTCTGGGTGCTTCCACACTGTAGTCTTGTTCTGGATGTTTCCACTCTGTCGTCTTGTTCTGGGTGCTTCCACTCTGTCGTCTTGTTCTTGGTGCTTCCACACTGTCGTCTTATTCTGGGTGCTTCCACACTTTCGTCTTGTTCTGGGTGCTTCCACTGTGTCGTCTTGTTTTGGGTGCTTCCACTCTGTTGTGTTGTCTTGTTCTGGGTGCTTCCACTCTGTTGTGTTGTCTTGTTCTGGGTGCTTCCACTCTGTCGTCTTGTTCTGGGTGCTTCCACTGTGTCGTCTTGTTTTGGGTGCTTCCACACTTTCATCTTGTTCTGCGTGCTTCCACTGTGTCGTCTTGTTTTGGGTGCTTCCGCTCTGTTGTGTTGTCTTGTTCTGGGTGCTTCCACTCTGTTGTGTTGTCTTGTTCTTGGTGCTTCCACACTGTCGTCTTATTCTGGGTGCTTCCACACTTTCGTCTTGTTCTGGGTGCTTCCACTGTGTCGTCTTGTTTTGGGTGCTTCCACTCTGTTGTGTTGTCTTGTTTTGGGTGCTTCCACTCTGTTGTGTTGTCTTGTTCTGGGTGCTTCCACACTGTCGTCTTGTTCTGGGTGCTTCCACACTGTCGTCTTGTGCTGGATGTTTCCACTCTGTCGTCTTGTTCTGGGTGCTTCCACTCTGTCGTCTTGTTCTTGGTGCTTCCACACTGTCGTCTTATTCTGGGTGCTTCCACACTTTCGTCTTGTTCTGGGTGCTTCTACTGTGTCGTCTTGTTTTGGGTGCTTCCACTCTGTTGTGTTGTCTTGTTCTGGGTGCTTCCACTCTGTTGTGTTGTCTTGTTCTGGGTGCTTCCACACTGTCGCCTTGTTCTGGGTGCTTCCACAATGTCGTCTTGTTCTGGATGTTTCCACTCTGTCGTCTTGTTCTGGGTGCTTCCACTCTGTTGTCTTGTTCTTGGTGCTTCCACACTGTCTTCTTATTCTGGGTGCTTCCACACTTTCGTCTTGTTCTGGGTGCTTCCACTGTGTCGTCTTGTTTTGGGTGCTTCCACTCTGTTGTGTTGTCTTGTTCTGGGTGCTTCCACTCTGTCATCTTGTTCTGGGTGCTTCCACACTGTCATCTTGTTCTTGGTGCTTCCACTCTGTTGTCTTCTTCTGGGTGCTTCCACACTGTGGTCTTGTTCTGGGTGCTTCCACTCTGTCATCTTGTTCTTGGTGCTTCCACTCTGTCGTCTTGTTCTGGGTGCTTCCACTCTGTTGTCTTGTTCTGGGTGCTTCCACACTGACGTCTTGTTCTGGATGTTTCCACTCTGTCGTCTTGTTCTTGGTGCTTCCACTCTGTCGTCTTGTTCTGGGTGCTTCCACACTGTCGTCTTGTTCTGGGTGCTTCCACTCTGTCGTCTTGTTCTGGGTGCTTCCACTCTGTCGTCTTGTTCTGGGTGCTTCCACTCTGTCGTCTTGTTCTGGGTGCTTCCACTCTGTCGTCTTGTTCTTGGTGCTTCCACACTGTCGTCTTGTTCTGGGTGCTTCTACACTGTTGTCTTGTTCTGGGTGATTCCACACTGTCGTCTTGTTCTGGATTTTTCCACACTGTAGTCTTGTTCTGGGTGCTTCCACTCTGTAGTGTTGTTCTGGGTGCTTCCACACTGTCGTCTTGTTCTGTGACCCATCCCGCGGGCCAGGTTATTGAGGAGACCCGAGGAGGCACCTCCTGAAAGATCAATGGGGGCGAGAGAGAAAGGAGACCAGGCACATAAGGGAAGACAGAATCTGAGTCGCGTCAAGGTCTCGTTTATTGACTGGGCATTGAGGCTTATAAGCGGGGCTTCAGGCAGGGAGGGGGAGCAGGGGAAGCAAAAGGAGAGAAGAATGGAAAATTCCTAAGGAAGGGTGAGGTCCCTTTGGTCCCAGGCCCCTGCAGCTGGCTGATTAGCACCTACTCCAGGAAGTTGTACAGCCCGCAGTTAGGCCAGGAACCTGTTTTTGCAAGGTTTGATAAAGTAAGGAAGGTCACACAAAATTCAAGACACAGCTGTCCGGAGTTGGGCCCCAACAGTTCCCCCTCTTTTCTCAAAAATGGATCAAGTCCATTGTTATCGGGGTGGCTAGGGTCCGAGAGAGTCCCTGTCTTAGGCTATACAGGGGGCTTCCCATGCTCGGCAGCGTGCCATGTTGAGCCGGTCTCGACGACCTCTGTAGGCTGTTGTCTCTGGCATGGGCCCTGTACTATTCCCGTCATTGGGTACCCTCTAGCAGGACCGTGGGGACGTTAGGGCCTTAGGACACTGAATCTGAGTCCTTGATGGGGCTCCTGGCCGGCCCCCTCAGAATCTACTCTGTGATAATGAATCGAGACGTGTCGTGGTAAGGCCGAATCAATCTGATTTTTGATAAACCGAGTCAACCGCTGAAAGGCCCAGGGACCAAAGGTAATGAGAAGGAGAAAAACAATTAAGGGGGCTAGAATGGTAGGTAGCAAGGCGGAGAGACAGGGGGACCCTTGCAGCCAATTTTCAAACCACCCGTGCTGATCTTCAAACTCCCTTTTTCTTTGGGCTAGCCTTTTCCTTAATATTTCCATCGATTCCCTGACAATACCAGTATGGTCGGCATAAAAGCAGCATTCTTCCTTCAAGGCTGCACTTAATTCCCCCTTCTTTAAAAATAGTAAATCCAGACCTCTTATGTTTTGTAACACAACCTCAGAGAGTGAGGTTAAAGATTTCTCCAGAGCAGAAATGGATCTTTCTATGGCCTCTAGGTCAGTAGTCATAGCCATTTGTAACTGCATAAGGTGGTTGCTCTGCACGAGGGCAGTAGTTCCTGTACCAATTCCTGCAGTGATGCCCCCAACACCTAACAATAGGGCAATAGTCATAGACACAGGTTCTCGAGTGTATCTGCCTCTCTGCTCAAAGAATTCCATATCGGAGACTAATTGGACCAGAACATAAGAGTTTTCCCATTATCAATGGCAAAGCGAGCTTCCCCTTATTTAGTTTTTGCCATCTGCAAGTGTGTCATGGGTTCAGAGGTGGATATTGGAATTCTAGCATCCTCCGTTTAGTGGTACCCAGACATGAATTATCATTTAGTTAAGACATCAGTGATATAAGAGCCAACAATAATTAGCAGAAGCACAAGGGCCAAAAGCCTTATGATGGCTGACAGAGTTCCTTATCCTCAAGGAACTTGGAACTTTGTCTCAGGTTCCCTATGACAAGAAATTCCTTTTTGATCTAACATTCTGGGGGGACGGGAAACAAGGGTGATGTTTTCTCTTCTGTAATTACTTCCTGCTGACATTGGGACATTGTTGTCAAGGCCCTGGAAAGCCAGAATGTTAGTCAAAGACAAGAGGGAACGTTCTATTGACCAGCTGAAGAGATGGTATGCATATCGGCTGAATTGGTCCATATCAGCTTTCAGCAAGTTCAGGGCTCACAGTCATTTGCAGTAGGTTGTCACCAGCAAATGATGCTTGGATGTATCTGTCAGCCAAGTGGAAACCTGTTGAGATAGATATAAACTAGGAACAGGAGTTAAAACTTACGAACTTATTGGGAAGTTTTAGACCCATAGTCTTAGTAATTGTAGTATTATCAATTTGCCCTGAAATCCATAGTGTCTTTTCTATCTAGAGAGCCAAGTATAGATTGGACTGAAATTTCCTTGACCCAATGAAAAGCATCTGTAAGTCTATATTTAGAACCTGTTTATCTTTTTTAAAGAGACTTATTAGCTTTAATTAATTAATCCATTGATCAATCAATTATTAAGCTGAGAAAGCTATAGCTAGTCCAGTCATCAATGTCATCAAAGATCTGAGAAGGATAAACTTTACCTGAGTGCAGACTTTTAAACCTATTTAAAAAAACAACAGAGACTATCCATTACCCAGACTGCCATCATCCCAGGCTCCTATAGTCTTCATAGTGTTGGCAGGACAGGTGTCAGGACAGCATCAGTCTTGGCTGCTGAGCCCATAATGTGAAATTTTCCCTGTTGAGGAGCAACTTGGTAAAAACTGACCTTATCTTGTCAGTGTCCTATAGGCTAGATCCCTGGCAGCAGGTGTTGAGTCAGAGCGTCTTGCCCAGTGGTCGGTGTTGTCCACAATTCAGGTGGCATCTTCTTGTAATGTAAATGCCATATTCAACAGATCTTTGACAGGTTTGCAGACCATTATCTATTAAATGTTTTTTTTTTAAATAGAACAGTTTATGCTTTAAACTAGTATCTGAATAGCCAGATGACTAGTATTAACTTGCATTCCTTAACATAAAGGACATGCAAACTCAGACATTCAAAACCAAACATACATGTGGCCACATTTTTCATTCATACCTGTAGAGTAGACAGACATTTTTAGAACTATGACCCTTTGGAGTCTCAATGTAACAGCAGAATAGCAAGACAAAGAAATCTGAAACACGTTTCATTTTTTTATATATCTCAAGTCATTTTTTTAAATCATTATTTAAGCCTTTTTATCCTCAGACCTTTATACCTTGCTTTTACATATTCTAATAACTTGCATTTTATATATTTTTTAAAACATTTTTTTTTATCTTAACCAACAATAATTTGAAACCAGTTCTCTTAAATGATGGCAAGTATTTGTAACCCATTGAACTCAAATGACCAAAACCCATGTAAATTTTTATTTTTCCTGTGGAAACAAAAGCATAATTTTCCCAGTATCTTGAACTGGTGATTTAACATTTCTTTTTAAGCAATATCAGGACAGAGAAGGGTTAACAAGAGAAGCTGCTGGCCGGCAGAAGAGACCTTGAAGTTATCACAGTAAAGGAAGGGAAGGGGAGCAGTGGGCATAGAGCGTGTCCTTGGCTGCCAGTGTTCCTGAAAAAAAGTTTTTATTAACTCCTCTGACTAAAGTCAGATTCTCTCTTCAGTGTTCACACAGTTTTTGTCAATTGCAGGCAGTCCCCATTGCCCTGTCCAGAGCTCCTGTCTTTGCCCACCTGTATGGAGAGCATGCACCCCCACCCTCATGAGAGCGGCCAGCTGGCTGCAGTCCTGATAGCAAGAGAGCTAGGGAGGGACGGAGGTGGCCTTTGTTATGCCTCTCTTTCCTCCTCTTCCTTTAGGAAAATAAGGGAGGTTAGTAGACAGAAACAAATAACATTTACACAGACAATCCAAGAACCGGAACATCAGCACTGAGACGACCGCCTCATTCACAGCCAACAAGGCCCTCTTGTAGTATGCAAGCCCCACCTGGCAGGAGCTACCTGTTTATCTCAGTTCAATCGGGGAGTGGGGGTGGGGGACCCAGTTCCCTCTATTGTGGCTCACACATTCTTCCAGTGGGCTAGGCAAAGGTCTAGTGGAGAAGAAGGGAACTGTCCCACAGTCAAGTCAACAATGAGAACAGTTAATACATTACACACAAGACCAAGGGCACACGAAAAAACTTTGCCCCAACAAAACAACCAACAAAGCTCCAAGAACAATGACAGCCTGATGTGCTCTGGGTGGGGGGTAACCCTCCAGGCTCAATCACATCAAAAACAATCCAGACTCTCTCAGACAGGATCTCTGTCCTTAATCAAACAGACATCAGGGGCTTCCACATCCCTGTCAGTCAGACATGCACCTTTTTTTTTTTCTTGGAAGAGAAGGAGAGAGTAAAGTAACAATGATCACAACAAAACATACAAAAAAAACCCCACAAAATGGCTCTGACAATTTCCCGGGACAAAATACAAAGTGGCACTTCCTCCCACCGTGGGGGAAGATACCCAAAGATGCTCCTAAACCAAATGGTCACCTCTGAGGTGGCCTTAGGGCTCTGGGACGTCTCCCTTCGCCGCAAGGTTCACTGTCCGGACACGTCTGTCCCAGTGAAAGCCTGCAAAGTACAAATCAAGCCTGCAAAGTACAAAACAAAAGTAACAAGACAGAGAGACACAGACAAGACAGAGCGCTCTTACCGGTAGATGTTAATAAACCTCTGGACCCTTGGGTGTCAGGCAGGGGGAGTTTGAGAGACAATCCTCTGCAAGGGCTAGTAAATGTGAAACATGCCCATCTCCCTCTGCTTCCTTTAGAACATCTCTAATCACACCATAAAAACTAAAAAAGGCATCGGGGACATTTTCCCGTCTCTGATTAATTTGTTAATATCTTTTCCAACCTTGTTCCAAGTCAAAGGGTGAATTCCTGGTCCATTAATCACTAACCAGGGACATTTCTCCTCCACATATTGGAAGAATTTTATCAAATCCTTTTTCTTTTCTTTCTTTCTTTTTTTTTTTTTTTTTTTTTGGGTTTTTCGAGACAGCGTTTCTATGTGTAGCTTTGCGCCTTTCCTGGATCTCGCTCCGTAGACCAGGCTGGCCTCGAACTCACAAAGATCCGCCTGGCTCTGCCTCCCGAGTGCTGGGATTAAAGGCGTGCGCCACCACCGCCTGGCCTCAAATCCTTTTTCTTAACTCTTATTCCTCTCTCCCTAAGATTACCTTTCATCTCCTTGAGAAAAACAGCCTCTTTAGATAAATTTTTGCCCATGATCGATGGGACGACATACTTACCTCAAGACTCTCCCGCGTTGCACGAGTGATGCGGTCCGGGCGTCTCTACCCTGATCCTCTCTGGGGGCCCCTTCTGTTGTCCGTCGTCCGGCAGGTCACCGGCCTCGAGCCCCACGTTCGGACGCCACTTGACCCGTCCTGTGGGCCAGGTTATTGGGGAGACCTGAGGAGGCACCTCCTGAAAGATCAATGGGGGCGAGAGAGAAAGGAGACCAGGCACATAAGGGAAGACAGAGTCAGTCTGAGTCGTGTCAAGGTCTCGTTTATTGACTGGGTATTGAGGCTTATAAGCAGGGCTTCAGGCAGGGAGGGGGAGCAGGGGAAGCAAAAGGAGAGAAGAATGGAAAATTCCTAAGGAAGGGTGAGGTCCCTTTGGTCCCAGGCCCCTGCAGCTGGCTGATTAGCACCTACTCCAGGAAGTTGTACAGCCCGCGGTTAGGCCAGGAACCTGTTTTTGCAAGGTTTGATAAAGTAAGGAAGGTCACACAAAATTCAAGACACAGCTGTCCGGAGTTGGGCCCCAACAGTTCTGGGTGCTTCCACTCTGTCGTCTTGTTCTTGGTGCTTCCACACTGTCGTTTTGTTCTGGATGCTTCCACACTGTCGTCTTGCTCTGGGTGCTTCCACTCTGTCGTCTTGTTCTGGATGTTTCTACACTGTCGTCTTGTTCTGGATGTTTCCACACTGTCATCTTGTTCTGGATGTTTCCACTGTGTCGTCTTGTTCTGGGTGCTTCCACACTGTCGTCTTGTTCTGGGTGCTTCCACACTTTCGTCTTGTTCTTGGTGCTTCCATTCTGTCGTCTTGTTCAGGGTGCTTCCACTCTGTTGTCTTGGTCTTGGTCTTGCCAGCCTTCAGCTCACTCTCCACACCACGGCTAGCATGCACATCTGACATGCAGCTAGGGAGAGCTGGGAAGTTGGCCCAACTAAAACAAATCCTAAATGCATTAAGATGTTATAAGATTATTTTGTGATTTGGGGGTGGAATACAGGATTGCACATTTCTCAAGCATGATCTTTGTAGATGACGATGCCTTGTACAGTGTCAGAAGTTTGAAAAATCATGACATATAGACCTCTTAGTGATCTGGCCTTTGTCTTGATTGATTCCATAAATCCAGGTAGGTAGATGAAATGCTTTGAAATTCTGGAATCTAATGTAGACTTTGTTTGTTACTTTGAGATAGGATTTCTCTGTGTAACAACCCAGGCTGTCCTCGAACTCACAGAGACCTCTTGTCTTTGCCTCCCAAGTGCTGGGATTAAAGGCGTGTGCCACCATGCTCAGCTACATACACATAGTTTAAACTCTGATTCGTTCTCCATATTGTCAGCAAAGAGAAAAGCCGTGAAAGCCTTACGGTACTCTCTACTGTGAGCCACAGTTATCTGGCTCCCTTTCGCTTTTCAACACTTATAGAGAGATCACCTTTTTCTTTCCTCTTCTTCCTCCCTTCTCCTGTTTCCTTCTCTTTTTCCTTTCCCTTCTTTTGCCTCTTCCCTTGTGCTTGAAAGTACAAAATGCTATAAGTACAGAGATATCAAACAAAAAAAGGTATCTTTATCACAGCCAGAAATATAGAGTGCTTATAATCCCCCTGCCTCTGCTCTTTCCTTTCCCCACCTCTCTTCTCCCCACCTCTGAGTTGAGACAATTGTTTGTTTTCGTCTGTGTGAGCTACCTCAAATA